AGGCATTTAACCCCTCGGGTCTTGGTCGCCCACCTTGCATNTTTATGTTTACTTACATCGTAGTGCCAGTACCGAGCCGCTTTCTCGCTCAAGACAATACAAATCAATTTTATTTCTCTATCAACATTACATTTGCTTGTTAGAGTTAACACTACAGTTGCAAATTTCAAATAAAACAAAGAAACCATAAAAAATAAACAATTATATCAAGAACTATAAATATCGCTCTTATAAACCGCAATAAATGTCAGTTTTTCATTCTTTATTTTATACATATATGTATGTAAATCCTTTATTTTCATTACTCTTTCAAAAATATAAGTATATATTATATATAGATAAATACACATTTTTAGACTCCAATGTGAAATTATTCCATCAACATTATGCTCGATTTTGATAAAATTGCATTATTCTAAAAGAAGTATTTTATACTTTTTTAGAACAAAAAATACATTAACAAGGGACACATTAGCACTTGACACCGTTACGTGGTTCGATTTTCATACGCAATTTGAAAGCATCCGATCATCACGATTCATAAACCTCAAAATATAACAATTATACTTTTACAGAGTTGTCTAGGCACTACTTAAAAAGCACTTTTCTTATAAAAAAAGAAAAGTTCTTACACTTTTACGCAAAACTATTAGAAAAGTGAGGGAGTGAGAATGTGTGTGTGTGAGAGAGAGTGAAAGAGAAAGAGAGAGGCAGTGATAGGGAGGGAGAGGGAGAGAAAGAGATAGTGAAAGAGAAAGAGAGAGGACAGGCAAAGAGCCACATAGGCTACAAAAATGAAAGAAGATAAGAAAGACAGACAGATAAGGCAAAGACGGACGAAGAGAGAGAGAGAGAGAGAGAGAGAGAGAGAGAGAGAGAGAGAGAGAGTGAGAGAGAGAGAGAGAGAGAGGGAAATAGATAAACAAAAAAATAGAGTGAAACATATAAGTAAAGAATTAGAATAAGTGTAAAGCTTCTTATAGAAGGCTTATTGGAAGAGGGAGGGAGGGAGGGAGTGAGAGAGGGAGAGGGAGAGAGAGAGAGAGAGAGAGAGAGAGAGAGAGAGAGAGAGAGAGAGAGAGAGAGAGAGACACAGGCAGAAGTACAGGAAAGGCGACAGATAAAGTAAGAAAGGCAGAGAAAAAGAGAGAAAAACAATTAGACAGATATATAAAGATAGCTGTGCAGAAAGAGTGAGAAAGGGGGAGAAACAGTGAGGGAGAAAAAAGACAAACAAAGATAACAATTAGAAGTAACAGGCTGACGTACGCAGATACGTAAGAGACAGATAGGAAAAGAAAGACAATAAAGTGACAGATAGATTGGCAACGAAAAAGAAAGAATCAGAGAGTGAGATAGACAGTCACATGCAGGCAAGAACAGATAGACAGAGACTGAGAGAAAGAAAGAGAGAGAAAAATAAAGGGAAATAGAAAACACCTCACGACTATCAAGATATTACAGAGACGGCAAAGAAAAGCATCTAAAATATACAAAATAGATGTACTTAGTGAAAATAAAGCTGAATAAAATACAAAATAAAAAAACAAATGCATTGTTAGAAGAAATTATAAAAGATTAATCTTCTGAAGCAATTCATACCTGAAACAAAGTTGAGTATAATGAACGAATATTGAATGAACGAATATTGAATTAATTACTATCAATAACAATTTTAGTGCTAAAGTTAACTTGAAAAAGTTAGTATAGTTATATTTTTGGAAAGACAAACGAAAGATATGTACAAACCCATATATTTATTTTGTAGACATAATTGATCGTATTAATTATATTGAGCCGAAGGTCGTGGGTTCGAATCTCGCTTGTAACGCTAGTTTTTTCATCTCAACCAAAACTTTAGATAAAAACATAATTAGTTAAGATATGCACAAACTTTAATAAATTTACCTCCACTTACGAAAGTTTCTTTAATTTAACGTACCTTGAACCTTGAACATTTTGAAAAAGTTTTTATTATTTTATTATTACAATATATTTTACTCTTGTCAAAAAATGGATCTTCTTTAACTATTTGACGAAGATAAGTATGGAGTGGATAAGTGGATTTAAGATTAAAAAAATCGTGATGAGACTCCGCTTGTTCTGATTTTAATTGTTCAATTTTATAATTAACCGGTTGTTGAATTGCAGTGTGAAAAGTAGAGGCTATTAGGGCAGCGGTCCTGCTCCGTTTAACTTCTCATTATAGATCACTTTCCTAGGACCTCATGATCACTTTCCTCAATTTCTCCTTCTTCACGCACTCTCATAAAAATTCCTGCCTAATCGATTCCTTCCGAGGGAAGAATCGATAAGATTTCCTACGGTTCAAAACCTTTTTCTTTGTATTTTTTTCTTCTCTACGGGCGCTTTCCCTTTCGATACCAGCGTGGGACCACACCGGTTCTGACAACAATCACGGCCGAGATGTTTGTCACCGACGATTTGTAACGCAGATCGATAACAATTTACTGGTTGGTTTTTTTTTGTCGTATGAATTACTGATTTTCACTGCCCATGTGGATTTATGAATTGGGATCCTGAGAAGATTAAAAAATCACGAATCTATAGACAAAAAACGTGAATCGTGGGATCGAAAATATAATTATCACGTTAGTAATGGAAATCGTTTCGCCTGGTGTCACATCGCGGATGATATCGGGTGCTTGGTGTCACACATCACGTACTTACTTTACTTACGTACTACTTACTTTATACTTTCTTCAAAAAATCTCCACTCGAAATCTATGTTTTGAAATTAGTGTTGAACTTTTTAGGCAAAGCCCTTGAAGTTTAAAATCCATCAAACGGGAAGAAACAAGACGCCAGCCCATTTCTTCCGACCATTCTTCCGGCGTTTAATTTCATAAATTAATCTATATTAATTTTTTCCGGATTTTATTGCGTAACAGGCATAGTTTACGCAACAAGATGTCAGGGAGAAAATTCAGTTGCATTCTGTGAGAACATGGGTTCACGTCGGTTTGGGAACGTTTTAAGACTTTCTCCCCGACTTTCTTTATTTTCAGTAACCTCTTAGGAAAAATATTCTACTAGTAAACCGGTCGGACACTTTTTCATATAAAGCCTGTTCTCGCTTTTAAAGTCCTCGAAATTTCAATTAAAACTCACGTAGTTTCGTGAGCGCAAACGCTTTTCTTCTGAAAATTATTTAAAAAAATTCTTGTACAGATATCAAAAAAGCTGTGAAACTGATAACTATCATGATTTAAAAAGTTACGAAACCAGTCAGTCATTTTATCAATTTTGTTAAATTTTCTCTCGTAATGCGCACAAAGAGAACTGACATACTTACCTTTACCTAAACAAAAATAAAGTAAAAGTTTAAACAAAAACGTAAATTGACCAACCAAATTGACATAGAAATTTTATCTTCGGCGATTACTGTTTGCATTGTTTGAAGAGTGAGCTTTAGAGAGATTTTTTTCTCCGCGGTTCACGATTTCGTTCACAATAGGTAGATAAGATTTGAATTAAAATTATCGGAGGACAATTTGTACACTTTCACCGATTCAAGAGGCAATAAAAATGCAATTGGCCATCGTAGAAAGTGGCGGTTGCGTCAGACCGTTTGTAGTATTTTATTCAAACGGCACCGCTTATCGCTAGAAATAGCTATGCTTTCGACTTTCTTCGCAGTTTCCTCATAGATAGTGACGTGCGTACAAATCGATATGGGTAAAATATCGAATCTTTTCTTTCGATACCGAGTAATTTTGGTATCGAATATTGCCTTACTGTATCGAGTACTTTTTGTAGTATCGGAATATATACTCAAATAGATTTTTCGTCGAGTGTTTAAGTAATATTGAACTGGAAGTCTTTTCAGAGGATCTTCGGAAGAGGTCAAAACAGAGAAAACTTCCTTACGGTTTTCGCCGAGCTTTCGACAGTTTTATACTGTCATCTTCAGGGCCTGTTTTATTATCATATAAACAAACAATTAAAACATCAAAAAACAATAATTACATATCTTACTTTAAAACCTTAATAGGAAATTAAACAACATGGTGTTTTGGGCACAGAAGTACATTATGTTTTTTCCGGCTCAGCATCTAAATATTGATTTAAATGGAATACATTAACAATTAAAAATTATAGCTAAAATTACAGTACAAATAAAATTAAAAAAACGTGGTCGAGAAAGGTTACCTCATATAAGTCTAAAAACCAATAAAATCCACCTTTTTTAGTTTTTCAGGTACAAGTGATCACAGTACGTTTCCAAATATATGTATACATATACAATTAACTTATTTTAATCACAGATCAAATCAATAAAAACCGATAAAAACAAATCTCTACGACGAGGGGAAACAAGGGCTACGGGAAACAATCGTTTTTTCTCCTAGTTAACATAAAATCCGCCACTAGGGCGATGTTCTACTGTTGAAAGCTCGGCGAAAACCGTAAGGAAGTTTTCTCTGTTTTGTCCTCTTCCGAAGATCCTCTGAAAAGACTTCTTGTATCCAGCAGGTCGATAATCTAGTTCATCGTAATATTGAACTGTTTTTTTCCGCTCGAAACTTACCTCTCACCAAACTGGGAGTTGACTAGTTACTGTTAAGAACGCCTACTAGCGGCATGTGTTAGTTAATCAAGTTTTTAAATTAAGGATTGGTAACTTTGCTGATAATTCTAGTAACTCATAATTCTTTCCCGCGTCGCACCTTCATTCAATTTCAGTAATTTCATATAAAATGTTTTTGTTTTGAAATCCCTAAAAAGTGTTCGCCTTCCTTCTCTTAGATAGACCTAATCATGTCTCCTCTCAAAAATAAGGCATGACGTTATTATACGAGGAAAATTGAATCGTCGGCATCTTGTGAACTCTGGGGATACAATGGGAATACGTCTTAATTAGGTTAGGATTGGACTATTGTGGTAAAACTGTCATAATGAGCAAACTGCAATTATTAGAAAACTTTACTTGTCAAGAAGTTTGGTATAGGCAACTCATATTTATGCTTTTGTTTCAGATGAAGTGGGTATTGATAATTGGATTGTTGGGTTTCGTTGGATGTGAGCAGCATACCCTCATCACGAAAATGCCTCAAGTGACGCGTACGCAGCTCCACGTGGCGCGGAGCCTCAATCCCGACGAAACGGAACAGATGACAGTCAAGACGAGAACGGGCGAAGTGGCGACGCTCATCGTCCGAAAGCGAGACGGGAAAAAAGTCGGCGACATTGAACCTCCGCCGAATCCGCAAAACGTGCCTAAGCCGAAGCGAAACGAGACGACCGCACGCGGGGCGAAAGATGCCCGGGTCCCTCCGCCGGTCGACGTCCGTTCGACTCTCATGTTCGTCAACAACGCCGACGAAAGCAAAAGGGGTCGGAAACTGGAGATCGACCAGTCGGGGATACCGGTCGTAACAGGCGTACGGGTGCCCGACGATCCCGAAGACAAACATAACGTCTGGAGAAACGCTAGGGTCATCAACGGCGTGTTAGTTCCTTACGAAAAGAAGGAAAAACCACCTGTTGCGAATGTACCTCCTGTTACAAAGGAGCCTCTATCCAATATAGAGTGGCTCAAAATGGAACCTATAACCACCCCAGTAGGCAGTCCTTTACCTTCTGAGCCGATTAAATCTTGGGCGGTTCCTAAACCCACGTTCTATGCTCAAGAGGCTATTAAAGTTGTAGACTATCCGCAGTCTCAAGATTCCGAAGAAGACAAATACGTAACTAATAAAATTTTGGAGTACATCAAATCTGTTAATCAGCTGGAAGTCGACAGACAACATTTGTGGGATCGAGACACTAGAGGTTTCAGTAGGGGGTTGCGGGAGAAGCCGAGGATCGAAGCCAGGGTGCTCCACACGCCCGGTGCGACCATTTATCCCACCTCACTGCTTTATTCCCCTCCGAGCGCGCAAAACACTAGAGTGAACGTAGAAGAAGGGGTGAGGACTCCCGTACTCCAATACGCCCACCCGGAACTTGGAGTCCAACCCGCCAGGTCAAAACCGTCTGAGGAGGAAAATCTCCATTTCGGCAGGGACCAAGCTATGGCCTATTTCGCTCAAGACATCCACTCCGACAGGAGTCCGTACGCTTTCGAGCCCGGTTTGGAAGAGGAAGCTAGAGTCCACGTTTTGGCAGAGAATAACAAGAGATCGAATTCGGGGACGTCGAGGCCGAAGAAGACCCTTTCTTACTTTTATCAAAACCAAGCCATCCCTCAGACCGACAAATACTACGTCAACCAAAACCGTCACAAAGATTCCTACATCCGTTATAATGAATACGTCGACAGGAGGCCTTTCTGGGAGAAGCTGGGCGACACGATAAAGGAGCACGTCGAATACGGTGTGGAGAAGGTGCAAGACATCACCAGGCCCGTCATGGAGCCCCTGGTAGAGGCGTCGCATAAGATATCGCAAAATTTGGGATTTAACACGGGAACCAGGCAGCTGAGCACTTTTAAAGAGAAATTGGGAGTTGCCGGTACGAACTCAATGCTGCTGCCGGCTATCGGTCTCGTCGCAGGAGGAGCAGCCTTGGGGTTGGGAGCTGTCGCCGTCGGGAGGTAAGTCCAAAATACAATTAGTGAAGAGGTGTCGATATGCCTATACGTCCTGTTTTTGGTATGTCATCTTCACTGGTTGAGTTTTAAAGGCTAATTAATAATAAAACTTCCAAACCAGTGGATATGGCCAAACGAGTGTGCCATACCGGCGAGAAGACCTCAAGAAGAAATTTCGCAATTCAATAAAACTTAATGGCGCACGGTCATTCGAACGTCTACCGTGCTTCCTCGAAGGGACCATTTCACTTCTAAACTTGGCAACAGGATATCCTCACTCAAATGCCATTATACTTATCCTCTATAGAAAGTTCGCAATTTCTATTCTACGTCAAAACGGAAATTAAGCTACGACTTTTTAAAAACATTATCGAATTAGGTATTCGCATTTCCTAAGCAAGATCAGTAGTTTAGGCAGTTACTTTACTTAATAAGTAAATTTGGGATGCTTTGAAAAAAGATTTATTTTCAGATTTTTAATAAATTTGATAATGAATTCTAAAATATTTTGATTTAACTTGTAATAAACTATTAAAAGCTACCCAAAGTTGTATAACCAAAATAACTGACCAAGTTTTGGGTTGTGCAATATTTTTCTCTTTTACACCCCTAGATTAAGAGAAAATATATCAAAACTCGATATAAACAGAAAGTACTATCTATAAATAATATTCATAGCAGTTTCTATTTATTTAAAAAAATTTCTGTTTTACTCAAAAATGGAAATTTGTTTTAAAAAGTGACTTTCTCGTCACGGTTTTTCCATCGTAATGTTTTTCTTATTTGGAATGTAAGTGGAATACCAAAAAGGCATTATAAATAATATCTATATAATTTTCCATTCATTTTACGTTTTTATCTAAATATTGTTTTCCGTTTTTGGCGACTCATTTACGTGCTTATTACAGTTGAAAGTTGCGAATGTTTGAGGAGTTTTCTTGAACGAATCTCAACCGTTTGCCCATCAATTTGTTCGCAGTTGATGATCTAATGTCCCACATGACGGTCCACTTAAACTTTCATCTGTTTTTTGACCCTGCTAAAAATAACACTGACGTTTATTAAACTTATTTATAGTATATACTCAATATGTACTTTATAGGTTCCTCGATATTGACATGCTGAAAAGGAGCAATGGCGGAACGCTGACTCCAGAACAGATCGAACAGCTCACCCTTGAGCACAAACGAGCCCTCGAGTCCGTCCAAAACGGCAGGTTCTACAGACAAGAGAAAAGGTTGAAACGATCCACCGAGGAGGACCTCCAGCAAGTCGGACACTACCCGCAATCTGAAGGACTTGGGATCGCCGAGGCCGCCTGGGGTAGTACGCCCTGCGCCAAGAGGGTCTTTTGTCAAGTCATGACTTCCAGATCAGAAGACGATGTCACATTGATGGAAAAGAAAATGTCTACTTTTCTCAACATGTAAGTACACCTAATTACTTTTAGATAAGTCATGTCGGATTAATACCGTTACAATTTAAAATAGAAACATGTTGAACTGGCACTGGTTTCGTCTAAATTTGCAGGTTGTATTTGTTTGTTTCTGTGAAATTAATGATTAGGATGTAACAGATTATTGTGATTTTTTAGTTTTATGTTGAGTCTATGCTACGGTCTTAGTTTTGTAAGAATTCTTTCTTAGTTTTTATAATACAATTAATTAAGGTTTTTAGTTGAGATAAAAAAGTCAATGGCACGAGCGGAATTCGAACCTACGATCTTCGGCTAGATACGCCGCTGCTTTACCACTTGAGCTATCGTGACCTCCATCCACTCCTGTTTTTATAATGTAGTAGATTTTTGTCATGACTTTTGTGATGGTCTTTATGCTTTTATGGGCTTTTCTTGTAAGTTTGTTCGTCTAGGGAAAATAGTGGGATTGTTTTGTCTATTATGAAGGCTGCTAGATGTCTTGTTTGTTCTTTTGTATCCGTGGGCACTCGGTGGTTGTTTCTACGTCTACTACGGCTTAGCTTTGTTACGTTCTTTTGTTGTCCGTGTTAGTGGATTCCATGTTAAGTCTTTTTTGTAGTATGTTAGTAGTTGTAGTTTTATTTTGTTGGTTGAATTTTGAATGAGCTGTTCGCGTTTGTTATTGATATGGGAGATTAGTTACTTAGTTATGTAGAATGTATTTTTGTCTTGGGTAGTTTTGATGAGTTGTGTGATTGTTTCCGGAAAAGAGTAGGTTGGTGGCTCTGTGTAAGTCTAGTTCTTTGTTGACTCTGCTATTCTTTATGTACAATGAACGGATTTCTTTTTTTAAACAAGGTTTTTGCACTTTTTTATGCCAATCGTTGCGACGAATAGCTTTTGTTATATTAAATACTAGCTATATTGTTGTACAGTTTGTTAGTCGCTCAGTATATCAATAGAAAAAAACATTTGGAAAAGATTAAATTTTACACCTCGGCTTTCTAAACCCGGCCATATATCACGAGCAGAAAGCGTTCATGACGTGAAGTCCATGTCTTTGGAACTTTACTGATTATGGACTTTTCATACATTCACGCGGTTTTACGGGTTCTTCTGAATATGGTGTCAATAAAGAGAACAAAGGCTGCATTCCTCCATCCGAATGTCAAGAAAGTATCAGAACCGCCCTGGTAAAAGTCGTAAATGATTTTTTACGATCTCAAATGACCTCATGGACGGTTCGGTGATGAAATAAATAATTGGCACATTTCCGCCAAACTCGAACCCTTCACCCGGCTCAAATGTCAGCACTTTTCGAGATTTTCTGACAATTACACTAGTCTGTCAAGGCTATCGGATAGTTAGAACGGAAATTTCATAGGATTTTGGCTAAATATATGTTTACAAACTGATATAAACAACATATCATAAACTGAAAAACAATGCAGATCTGTTTTAGGTCAAAAAATGGTTTTATACTAAGACATACATACATAGTTTAACAAGCAGTAAAATCCATCACTAATGACAATAATTACTTTTAAAAACTCAATATTACTTAAAAATGATTTATATATACTTATGTTCTTGATATTACTAACTTTTTAATTACTTTTATTGGCTTATTCTTAATTACTCAATTAATTATATACAATTTTTCAAAATGAAAAATCTGTACCACAAGCGGGATTCGAACCCACGACTTTCGGCTAAATACGCTGTGCTCTACCACTTGTATACTCTACCGGACTTCGACCGCCCATGCCGCAAACTTCCCATTTCGACTCCCCGTTTATTCCAATTGTATATTGATATTAATATAAAAGAGCGCATTGTTGTCAATGTTGACTCAGCTTGATTGTCACATTTCTATTGAGAAATTCGCGGAATGAAGTAACCCATTGTATTGAATGCCGTTCGAAGAAACATAAAACGAACAGCGTGTTGTGAATAAACACAATTATGTATTTACTGTCATCTTGTGTATTAAAAGAAATCTGCCAGCGAATCTTGTTCAATTCTCAGAGGAACTGTCATACCACGGTCAAGGAAGTCGGGGGTACTTGTTCGGACTTGACCTAAATATTGAAACTAAGTAAATAATTTTGCCTTTTTTATGTCCACATTGGAAAAAAATATCCAACAGTTAGTCTAATTTATGAAATGATCATCTAAACAACCAATCGAAATCATAATTAATTAATCAATGAATACGTAATGAATTAATGAACATTCATGGTGTTTATGCCCACTTTAAGAGCTGTAGTATCCTCTGTACTTATTTTTCACGGCTGGATTTTAATTCAACAAGGAATTTGATTATTTGACAGGGTTGTAATGGACTAAATTTCCACTACGGTCGTGTTGTAGGTCCCAAAATACTTTCTCCTGAGATGTCTATCGCCACGATCTGATAGTCGCTTTGTTGAAGTTTCCTCATTGGAGAACCATCACCGTGTCGATTAAAGTTAATCTTTCCCAGATGTGCATTGACTCTGCAGTGACCCGTCGAAAATCCTTTTCGGAGTCTTGTCTTTCTTTCTTAAATGCATTGTATTCTTTATTTTCAAATTTCACAAGGATGTTCTTAAATTGTTTAGATTCCCATTGTTCCTCCATCCTAACTTTCTATAATGATCTTTGATAGTATAGATTGCTGTATAACAGAGGGTTCGGGTTCTATCAGTGTTGAGCTAGGCCATCCGCTTCTTCGTGACGTGGGAAGTTTAGGTCGTCGTCGGCCCTCTGCACGTTGTACTTCTTTTTCCGGTCTTCCACACAAATCTTTCAGCCTGCGTCTCAATTGGTTATTGACTCTCTAGTTTTATACGAAAAATTATGACGATATCCTGAAATTCAAGCGTCTTATTTGTACATTTGTACCTTAGGTTGTCAACTACAAAATAATCTTAGAACATCACTCCCCCAGAGTACTAGATATTCCTCGGGAGAGGGTCGAAGCCATTTCATTCTCGCTAATAATTTTCTTTTGCTCTCTAGACATCACACACTTACCCCAGAGTACTCGATATTCCTCGGGGCAGGGTCGAAGCCATTTCATTCTCGCTAATCACATATTTTTCCTCTCGAGACGTCACACACTCTCACCATACACATTACCCCTCGGGGCGGTGTTAAACGACCCGTTCTTTTCACGCTAATAAATGGCATTCATTCCAATATATTAATTTTGACGGTGTGCATCCTGTTTGGAAAAGACAAGTTATTTACTACCCAACATCCCAGTAAATTAACATAAACATACCACTCAATACAAACGTAGAAGTCTTTTCACTCCCCCAGAGCACTCGATACTCCTTGAGGCGTGGTCGAACCCTTTTCATTCTAGCTAATAACTTATTTTTATTCTCAAGACGTCAAATAGATCACACTCCCAACCCAGATAGTCGATATTCCTCGGGGCGTGGTCGAAGCCATTCCATTCTCGCTAATAAATTACTTTTCCTTTCCATACGTCACACCACTCACACCAGAGTACTAGACATCCCTCGGGGAGGTGTTGAGCAACCCCTAGAGATGATTATATTCATAAAGAATATAGAAACCAATATTGCATTGAATGCATTATTATTCATATAATTAATGATTGCTTGGTTCAGAAACTATTTTACAAAGGGAAAAATGATAACTGAAAATGTTATTGACCTCGGCCATCGCCTCTGTCGTGCTGGGGTATAAAAATCCCTTTCAAAATTGCATTTAATTCATAGAATTATAGAGATATTAATACTTTAGTAACAGCCAAGGCCAGTGCACAGGTTTACAAACAAAACTGCTGATGGTTAGTGTGCTTCTATCGGCGGCCTCTCACGAATGCGTTAAATGTTAGATTTCCACGGTGGATTTCTCATTCTCGCGTATCACGAATGACATTTCGAACCGTTCACCGGTCCGCCTCGATTGTACTCTATTGTACAACACGGAGAATATAAAGGGCAAATACCCTCGTCGAATCCTCTCACAAGTCTTTCTGACGATTGGAATTATGCGGTTTTGGGTCGATTAGTGTTATGCAGTTTGGCCGTTTCCTGGAACTTTGCAGCTCGAATGGTGGGTCCGACACAAGAATGAGCAGACTGACAAGAAATTTTTCTCTTTTGCGAAAATTCATGGGATTAATGCTTTAATGAAAAAAAAAACGTTTCTAAGGTTAACATTGAATCGATCCGTTAATGTTACAACAGTTCAGTTAAGACACTTTAAGGGATCTTTTGAAATGAGCTAGCTCATCGATGGACTAAATCACGACTGAGGCAACAATCTTAGAAAATTAATCGGTCAATGCAAAACCAAAGATGCTTGGAAGAGGGCAATAACGATCTGTACTCTCGCGCAATGGTCATGTCCACTAATCAATTTCACACACTTTAATCGTATTGTAGTGGCACAATGGATATTTCACGGCTACCATCGCCCTGACATACGCTCTTCCATACTTCAACTTCACATATTTAATTTTGGCTCGTCCTTCAAGTATAAGAATAAGGCGTGAACTGGCTTAACGGAGTGCTTTCAGTCAAAGAAAAGTTTTCAAGAAAAAGCTCTCCTGAACTTTCTTTAACCGTAGAAACAATATGTTGAAGTGAATATCAAGCGATATATGGTTATAATGTTATTAACAGAATTAACATTTGCTGGTTTCTCTCTCTTTTATGGAATGTTAAATTCGTTTACCAGAGTTTCAAACAGAATAAGCTTTGAAAGCAAAACAGACCCTTGTTTAAATAATGACCGGGGACTGTTAATTTTCTCCTTGTTTCAACAAGCTAAGCACGTCGGAAGAATTGAACTCGCTTTTTAAAAATGTTTCGTTTTCTAATAAATTTCCCGGGTGAGAGTGAATTCGAAAGAGAAGAAAACAAGGTTCGGGGAAAAATAATAAATAGTGAGATCTCTTGTTGAGGAAAGCGTGATGAACCTGCCGTTTGGTCGTCTTCTGCGGTCTCGCAGCTTTGGTTGAAAAAAAGGAGAGACATGCTTCTCAT